TAGCTAATGTTACTACTATGTGGCTTTTCATTCTGCCCTGGCCAGCGATTCCACTTTTAGCAGCACTGTCTTCAGTTTGCCATTCCCTCCCCCCAGAGGTCTGAATTCTCAAAACTTACCGAATTTGAAATTGAGATTTTTGAAATTTCTAAAATCTTTGATGCAAATAATTTTAAACTTTTTTACTCCCAAATCCCATTGAAGTAACATTAGCTAAAAATAGCTGATGGAAATTAGTGATTGAGTTGCTGTTTTGCCTCCTCTCTTTCAGCTGTGGATGCTCTGGAATGTTATTATTGTCCCAATGGAGGAAACTGTTTTAGCACAACTACCTGCTCTGGTAATCAAGACCAATGTATCACCATATTCTTTACAGGAGATGGTAAGTATAATGGGGTGAACAAATAATTATATTTAGTTCTTTAATTTTTTTCGGAGGGGACTTCAATGAGCTTTGAAAAAGGCTATGGAGAATCATTAATGGACAGAACCAGTTGGGAGAAAATTCCAAGTCTCCAAATTGCACAAACTTTACAAAAGATGCAGCTCTATGAAGGATGCTATTTTCCACTTGAGTTGCTAAGTGTCTTTTTCAAAGGCTGTATAAGGCCTTATTCAGTAATAGATGGGTGGAATACCCGTGGTCATCTTCGGAAAGGTCCCACAGATGGATGAGTCAAATAAATGAGCTTCAAACATGGAACATAATGACCCTTGGCTTGAATCTGAAGTAAACTATGTTAACCGATTCCCCAAATAAAAAGAAAATGTTTTTCCCCCCAATAATATGATGATTAATTTTTCTCCTGGAAGTGTTCGCAAGGAATATTGCTCTACAAGTCCTGATCTTTACTAACTCTACTTGTGTAAGAGCCATAGCCTTCACCTCAAGAGGCCCATGAGTCCTAGGGTGGGTTTTATTTCTACTTCTCTCTGAACCTAGGCAATAGTTTGTTATCATTGTTACTGAGCCAGTCATTATGGCAATAAGTCCAGGGATCATGTGGCCCAGGATGCACCTTTCAGGACCGAAAGAACTCTAAAATACCGTATTTCCACTGCCTATCAAAATTTGCATTAGTGTCTCAAGTATCCAAACAAACAGAACTGACTAGATTATTTTGGACCCTGGAACAAAGGTAAGTGTTGCCCTAAGTATTGCTCAAAAGAACAAGAAGGGACAATTCTTTATCAGCAGTTTATGCAATGTTACTCATTACTTCAGGTTCAGGCTCCTCTACAAGATTTTGATGATGGTGCAACCAAAAGGCTTAATAGTGGGATTGCCAATGCATTACCAGACAACTTGCTGATTTTTTCATATATTGGGGTTGTTTTCACGGGAGTAGATAGGTCATTTTGAGATCTCACCACCTTGCCCCAGTCTCAGTCTTGCTGTTCACATTGTTCACATGAAAGAAACAAGAATTTTGAATAATGTGGATGTGCTGCATGCCTGGCCCAGCCTCCAAAATCGTGACCCGTCAAAAGCGCGGACGACAAAAGCGCGATCGACAAAATCGCGCCTTTGACGTCATCACAGCGCGACGAAAAAGTTCGAAAAAATGTAAAAATAAAACGAAAACCTTACCCTAAGGCCCCCAAACCTAACCCTAAACCTAACCCTAAA